TCTGGACTTTCGCCAAAGCAAATAACTAAAACAAAATTCAGGGATCAACGTTCTCCATGTCTTTATTGCCAGGGATCAAGTACCTGGCTTGCTGGGTGACGTTTGGGAGATGTCAGTTTCCTCTCACTTTGGAGACTTTGACAGAGACGGGTTCTGCTTTGATAAGACCGTAGAGCCAGCAAATCGACTGGGCTGGGGTAGCAGAACCTGGTGGGGCAGGCTAGTGTGACTGCTCCCACACCAAGAAGAACTCGGGCTGCCCAAGAACTAATGAGATGAGCAGAGACTAGAAATCCTACACTCTAGCTTGATGGCTTCAAGGGTTGTCAGGACAGTTCCCACCCCCCTATCCCCCGACTCCCTGAGACCACAGATGCCTTTGAGGTTTGCAGACACCTTAACATTGCGAGAGTTCTCAGGTCTCATTGTTAGGTAAGATCTGAGGAAACTCTGCATGGTTGTTTCCTACTTGCTATCACTTTCCCCAGCTTCTGGTCTCGCGTCTGTTTTCTCACTCTTGTGGCAGTTTGTCAGGACATGTCGAAACTGCAGCCCAAATTCTCCATTAACCATTCCAAAGAGCTTTACCAGTGTTTTCTTCTTATCATATATCTGAGCTCATCGCCCCAAAATAATTGCTCCACATCAGCCAAACATGTCCTTGCATTGTGCTCACGTTACACTTTTTTTTGGATGCTCACGCCTGGCCCCACCCTTTGTGTCCACCTGGTAACTTTCCCTAGGACAGAGCCTATGTAGTGGTTCCTTTGAATATCTTTCTCTGAAACCTCAAATACACTGAATGCCACCACATTGTCACAGCCCAAGGATGACAGACTTAGGATACTGAGTCATTTTTTCTTCTATTCCCCAGCATTCTTTCCTTGCTCTATTCTCTCTCCAAAAACCTGATTAGTAATGCTTTGTAATACACTCCCTGTGTACCAACCACTGTAATACTAGGTCATTAGAATCTCCCTGAAAACCATATGAAAATAATGTTCTTATAACTCCATCTAATTTTGCAGATGACTAATGAAGGGGTTAAGTGTCCTAGTCCACAGTACACAGGTACTCCTGGGTGGAACTGATATTCGAACCCACACTCTTTAAGAGTCCCAGTAAATGCACAATGTCTAATCATTCTAGCTTTGCTGGAGATGATGTCATGTTTCTAAGTCAGTAGGATTAGGACTAGGGGAAAGTGTGTGTATGCATGGAAATATGGGGGACAAGGCAAAATTTCACAAGGTTGAGATGTTAATCTTGCTTCATAGGCCAAACCTGTTTCTCAACATCTTTCTGAACTCTCCCAATGATCAACTATTAGATAGGTAAGAGTAATATTATAGGTGACCTTTGTGACAGGTTCAGAAGCTCCTGAGAAAGGTCATTCTCCCCCAGGCTGATGAACAAGACCCCGAATTACTTATACAGTGTTTAGGGTCTGGGTGATATTCATAAACACCCCAACTCTGCCTCACTGTGTAGATTTGGTGAACCTTCTTGGCATCTTTAATTTCTAGATTTCTGACTTGTAGAATAAAAATAATCTTTGTTCCACCACTGTATTAGGATGGATGAGGTTATGCTGCATGCCAGTAACATGCATCTCAGTGGCTCAAGTTCACATTCACAACAAGACAGCAGAGGCAATTATGTATTGTGGCCTCTCAGAGACATGGTTTGATAGAGGCTCCATCTACACCTTGATAGCTTTTGACCTAGAGGGCTCCTTGTTAAAGAAGCTACCGCACGTCCTAGACATTGTGTCAAATCTCTCATTCCAGGTGAGTGGAAGTCAGAAGTGTCCCTTCCTCCACTGCAACAACCAAAATTATCTGCATTTTTCCATGTTCTCTGGGATGCCAAAGCTACCCTTGCTTAAAACCACTGATTTAGCCACCCCCCCCCCCACACGATCAGCCCAGCTGAAGGGAAGGAGGGCTGAACTCACATACATCTACCAATGAAATCCTCTTAACCAGACACGCCACACTCATTTTCCTTTCCTGTGGATCGAGAGAGACAGCCCATGCCTAACCTCACAGAGATAGAACCTACACTTTTACCATAAAACATGAAGAGAAAGACCTGAAATAAGTGTCATCACACTGGGCCTGGGGAGATGGCTCAGAGGTTAAGAGCACGGACTGCTCTTCCAGAGGTCCTCAGTTCAATTCCCAGCAACCACATGGTGGCTCATAGCCATTCATGATAAGATCTGGTGCCCTCTTCTGGCCTGCAGACATATATGCAGGCAGAACACTGTACATAATAATAAATATTTTTTTAAAAAAAAAAAAGTGTCATCAGGGCTGGAAAGATGGCTCAGCAGTTAAGAGCCTTGCCTGCTCTTCCAAAGGTCCTGAGTTCAATTCCCAGCAACCACATGGTGGCTCACAACCATCTGAAATGAGATATGATGTCCTCTTCTGGCCTGCAGGCAGACACACAAACAGAATATTGTATACATAATAAAAAATAAATATTTAAAAAAAAAACAAAAACAACAACAAAAAAATAAAAAAGTGTCATCAGACCCAACATACAACAATTTGAAATGAAAGAATGCATGTGTAATTTTTAACACAACCTCTAACAAATAAACAGAGGCCACCATTTGGGGACTGTTAATATCAGAGTACAATGTAGGACCAACTGTCTGGTCTCCCTTAGGGGAGATGAAAAGCTGTGGACCAAAACGACAGTGCAGAATTCATTCCATTTCGGTGGTGCCACATTTCTTGCCTAAAGCTGGTAGAGTTTGATTAGTCTGTAAAGTTTTAGTTCAACAGTGTCCTTACTATCAACTGCATAGGTACCCTCCAGGCATGGTTTGGTCATGTCTATCTTCAAAGCAGAGTAGCCCTGGTGGTTACATACATGTTCCTCCTCCTAACATAGGACCCATCAGCATTCCCTGGTAGAATGAGGAAAGCAGAGTTACACTCTAACCACCACTAGCTTCTCCCTGTCCCCTTTTAGCTGCTGGCTGTCCTACCCTAACTGCACATGGCTTCTGGCGGTGGCATGCTAGAATATAAGGAGGTGGGAGGATGACTGGAGGGAGGACTCCAGTGCTTCAACCTTCTTAAGTCACCACTCGTGCTGGGATGGAACTTTCTGGTGCAACAGGTGCCTACGTGTGTCACCGATGCTCCTCCACATAACCCTTTATCTAGGCTTCCATGAGCAGTGTGAATAATTCATTGGTTGACCAACCTAGGCTTGGATCTTTTTTATTATTTATTTATTTATTTATTTATTTATTTATTTATTTATTTATTTAATCTGCTAGTGCTCTATTTGTGGTACATCAAAATCTCCCCAGGAAAAGTCACATAACGACAGTCCCGTTGGCCACTTTGTCTCCTGTTATTTAACATGCACAAAGAAGAGCCCGCCTGGTGGCTAGTGTTCTGCCCTCCTGTGGTGTCTTCCTCTTTCTCTCATGCTCTGATCAGTGAGGACTTTTCCTTTGTGCATTCCATATGCGTCGTGCTCCTCCCCCAGGAGCCTTCGCATATGCCATATTCTTCCTCCATGAAAAGCTTCTTTCTCATCTCTTTTTTCTACTTCATTCAGTTTCTAGAAAACATTTTTCTGACTTCTCAGATTGTGTCTTCTCTTTACACCCCCATTCTGCCAAGAACTTATGCTAGTAAGTGGAGGTCCCCCCTAAGTCATATACCACAATTTGGGATTTTTATATGGCTGTCTGTCTTCTCCACTGGATTGAGAACACAGCCATAGGTTTCTTTTGCTTATAACCCGAGGGTTATACACATGGTGTATAATAGACCCTCAGTGAATGCAGGTTGGAGTGGAGAGCTAAGCTAGCTCGGTCAATAAAGTGCTTACCGTGCAAGTACAAAGGCCAGCGTTCAATCCCCAGAACCTCCATTTCAAAAGTCTCCTGGGAAGGCATCTCTTAGGGTTTCTAGTGCTGTTGGGGTGGGGAGTATTTTATCTTATACTACCAGTAACACTCAGTCCATCTTGAGGGAAATCAAGGCAGGAGCTCAAGCAGGGCAGGAACCAAGAGGTGAGGAACTGGAACAGAGACCATAGAGGAACACTGCTCACAGGTTTGTACCTCATGCCTTGTTCATCTTGCTTTCTTCTAGAACCCAGGATCACCTGATCAGAGGTAACACTGCCACCAATAAGCTGCACCCCCAACCCCCCTGCCTCAATCGTTAATCAAGAAAATGTACTATTGACTTGCCTACAGACAAATCTTATGGAAGCATTTTCTCCATCAAAGAGTCCCTCTTCCCAAATGACTCTGGCTTGTCTCAAGGAGATGTAAAACTTGCTCGTATATGACACACACTTGTGATTCCAGCACTGGAGTAGGGGCCAGGACACAAAGATAGGCAGGTCCCTGGGGATTGCTAGCCATTCAGCTTAGCCTACTTGGCAAGACCCATGCTGTGAGAAACTATGTCTAGAAAAGAAGGCTTGACAGCACCTGAGGAATGACTACCACAATTGTCCTCTGGCCTCCATTCACCTGCACACACACACACACACACACACACACACACACACACAGAGAGAGAGAGAGAGAGAGAGAGAGAGAGAGAGAGAGAGAACACATACACACACAAAAATTGCAGGCTGACTGAATGAGGTCAATTGAATGAATAAATGAACGAATGCCTATTCTGAATCCGAGTCTAGGATCTACTGATATTTGCTTTGAATCTCTTTCCCATGCTTCATACAGCAAAGCGCTGGTCCCATCATATTTCCCAGGAAACAAAAAGCAGAGGGGTGGAAATTCCCAGTCTAGAATCTCGGGCTCCTCACCTCCTTTAAGGACACTCCTAGCAGAAGGTATGCCACCTGCACACACAGTGACCGAGCGATTCGCCCCGGCCTGCCACCCTGGCAGCCGTGTTTGCAGAGAAAGCACTCACTCGGCTTCAGTTCCTGCTAGGGAACCATGGTGAAGACTCTAAACAGAACTCCCTGAGAAGCCTCGGGCTGAAGCTGTGAGAACCTCCTGGAGGCCTAGGGGGTCACTGACTGGTCATCTCAAGCGACTTCGGTAAGTCTGCTCTGCTTCCCCGGGATTCAGGCTTAGCTCCTGGTCCTCATTCATCTAGCCCACTCAGCTTGTTCCAGCCATGCTGTTGGTCTTTCAGTCTAAATGGTAATCCATTTTCTTCCTTCCTGTCTCTTGGAGTGCCTCCAAATCTCTAGCCCCCTGGCTTGTTGCCCAGCCCCACATATGTTCTTGCCTCTACCTCCAAATGAGGAGTAGTTAATTTCTCCTTGGTTAGCTGAACCCAGTCTAGAGCCAGGTAGCTGCTCACAGTGTGTTTCCCATGGGTAGATGCATCAGATCCATTCAACTGCCACTCAGTAGCTACTCACGGCCTCTTTCTCTCGTTTCAATGCGATCATATTGCTTTACACCCGAGCCCAGGCTTGACATATCTAAAAGTAAATGTTTCAGACAAATTCATAAACGAGGGAAAGATCTGTTGAAGGAAAAGGGGCTGAATTTCTGAGGGGAGAAAAATTCTGCTACAAATGTATACTGGAGAGAGCCAAACAGAACACGAAGCAAAACAATGGGCATTTTAACTGACTTCTTTTACAGCTATGGTTGAACTGACAACTTCCATAGTTCCACTTTTTTGTTTTTGTTTTTTATTTTTGTTCTTGTTTTGTTGTTGTTGTTTATAGGTTTAAATGAAAATGCGTAATGTTGGCCAAAAACAAAAAAAAATCTGATAATAGATACTTGAAGTTATTAGTACTAGCTAACATAATTAAAAAGCACCTTGGTAATTTTCAGAAAAAGATGGCAAAATGCTAGCAGGCAGCCTCATTGAATTTATTCCATTAAACCAGAAGAGCACTTGAAACCATTAGTGGAATGATGGTTTCTCTGATAGCGTGGCCCCTAGAGGCCAGTAAGAAAGTGTTAAGTTTGAGGGAGAAACCCACAATCCAAGTGGATAGAATGCTGGCTGGGCTATATATTTTTACTTAGGAGTGTGGGAACACTCTCAAGCCACGAACTCCAGACAAAACCATGTTTGCCTCATAAGCAAACGCATTCATGTAAAGTTTTCTTGACACAAAGTAGTTATGGTGACATATAAATTAATTCAACATTTAAATCAACCACTATTATAATGCAGGCTAGCACATTTTATTAAAACAAGAAGTCTTTTTAAAAAAAAAAGACAGTGAGAGTTATGTATTGCATGATTCTAGAGTCTGTTCATTGGTTAAAAGACACTGCAACATCCTTCCTGGGGGAATTGTTTACTAAAAGATGGCCTTCCTCCAGGATGAAGAAGACAAAAGTTTGGCTGTGCTTGCTCCTTAATGCGATTTCCTGCGTCTGACCCATTCAGGAGAGGATGTAGTCAGATTGTCACCAAAATCAATTCTCTCCAGCCTCTGGTTTTTTCTTTTCTGTCTTTCTCATATTTATTTGCTAATTACTAAAATAATACTTGACTATGAAATATCCAAGTGGAACAAATAGGCATAAAAATTGAAATTCTCTATGTAACCCATATACCCAAATCAAATATATTCCTTTTCAGAAGTAACTGCTAATTAGTATACATCCTGCAGATAATGCTTTTCTCAGAATGCACAGGAATACAGATAAGTTCGATGTAAAATAATTGCACATAGTGGTATTGGATTGTTTCAAAACTGTCAATAAAGTCACAGTATTTGTTTGGTCTTATAACTAGATGTTTTTTCTACTTAAGAATATGTCCTGGGGGATCAGGGAGATGGCTCAGTGGGTAAAGTACCTGATGTTGCAGAATGAAGTCCTGAGTACAAATCCCACCTGGACATGGTGGTATGCACCTGTAATCTCAGGGCATATATGTGTGTGTGTGTGTGTGTGTGTGTGTGTGTGTGTGTGTGTGTGTATTCTCCTTAAGAACCATGGCAAAGTCATAACCTTTTGTCATCTCAACAGATTCATCTCTATAATGGGAATTCTGTGTTGCTTTCTCAAAAGAATTAACTGAGTTAAGTTGTATTTTTGCATCAACCTTGGACACTGTCAAATATTTAAAATATGGCAAGATGAAAGCATGGAAGAGGCCCTGCTTAGTGTGTCACATTTTATATAGAAAACCACCCCATAGAACTGGGCTGTTCAGGCTTTGCTTATATATCCAGACTTGGACTATGGGATCATGTGTAAGTTATACAGCCTCTATGTGCTTTGACTTTCTCATACACAAAGTAGGAAGTCTTGTGTGGCCTTCCTTGTGGAACTGTTGTAACAATCTACTCTCTGGCATTGTATAGATGGGTGGGGAGCTACAAACATTAGATAAAATGGGAATAATGGCAATAGTTACTGTTACTATTACTATATAATAGTCTCAGAGACACAGGGAGAGACAGAATCTGTGCACTCACCTTTGAGGAGTGCAGGCAGACACGTGGGAAGAGAAATAACTATTTCCCAGTTGCAAGCTACAAGGATGCCAGAGTAGAAAGTGGTCTGGAGGTCATTGGTTATAAAAGTTCCATTGTGTTAGTAAGGAACCAAGACCTAGGGAGAAGTGGCTTTGCCTAATATAGCATAGCTACCTAAGGAATAGACCTGCACTCAGGATGTACTTTTTGACTAGTAGGCGTAGTCCTCCAGTGACTACTGATGTACAGATTTTTGAAGCTATACAGTTTCATTTCTCCTGGATATATATGTAGGGGATGAGTTGCTGGATTGTGTGGAACTCATATTTCATACATCTTTCAAAGGAATCCAGGTTGCTTTACATTCAAACCAATAATGCAGGTGGATTTCAGCTATCCTGCAAATGTCTCTAGTCTCTGATTAGTTTTTGTAATGTATGATTTGTATGGAAATATCCCTGTCACAAAGTTAAATAGATGTTGGGTTGAGCATGCATATCTGCAGACAATGTATCTAGCATATGCCAAAGTACAGCAATGCAAAAAATGATGTGTTTATATCTTAAAATATTCATGACAATGTCCTTACTTGTGTCACTAGTTAATGTCAACAATAACCACCATTTTTGAGAACTTACCATGTTCCAGGCATCATTTGAGTGTCTTAAATATGTTCACATACATTTAATCCCATCTCCCAAGTACCCTTCTGGAATAGACAGCCCAAATGAGAAATAATAGTAGCTTTTGGTAGAGAAGCATGACCAAAGTGGTGAGACATAGATTGCATCATTTACTCAACAGTGTAGATCACAAATACCTGCTGCCCGTTTGCTCTCTGCCTGGCACGCCGTGTAATTTTATATAAAGACATTTCTGCTACAAGCTAGAGCTTTGCTCTCTGTTCTCAATGAACTTACAATCTTTGTGAATGGGGAGACACTTGAGAAATGAAATTGAGAGTCACTGTTGATTAACTCCATATGAAAAGTAAACAAAAAGATGGCATGATTAGCCCACTGGAAAGGGGTTGAACAGTCCCCTGAGCTAAGGAGCATGGTGGTCTGTTGAGGTGGGAAGAGTGGGCATGAGATGATTTCAGTTTTGTTTATGTCGGTCTGTTATTTATCTGGGATTTGTGATAATGGCTGAATAGCTAGGTCTGGAGTCCGGAGCAGAGATCTCATTCAGTGCATAGACTCTGGGGTCATGTAGGTAGCCTGGATCGTCAGTATAGTCACCAAAGGGAGAACTTTGAGAAGAAATGAGAGATGACCTTCTAGACTTTAAGCCTAGCCTCCTCCAAGGAACTAGCAAGCAAGATCAAGTAGGGAGAACAGTAAGGGAACAGCCAAGTAAGAGAGAAGCCGAAAGCTCAGAACACTTTTGAAGCCGAAAGAAAAGCACACTCCACGGTAGAGAAATGTCAACAGATGTCAAGGAGAGTAAAGGAGCTTGGGATCAAGGGGCTGGGCAGTTACTGCTGGCCTCCTAGGCACCTATGTGGTAAAGTATGCAGGAGAATAGCCAGACCAATGGCCAAGCATGGAATGGAGTCAGAAAGGGAATTTCTCTCATTTTAGAAAGATTGGTAGAAGAATCTAGAACTGCACAGCAATTAGCAAAGAAAGAATGTGTGTGTTCAGCCTTTAGTAAAAGAACCTAGCACATGTTTGGATGCAGTGGTATGAATTCAGTGGATGTACGGGAGGAATGGCATACCAGACACCCAACCACAGTTCAAAGTTTTTGCCTGCACTCCGTATAGATTAAGCAAATGCTGGATGTTGCATTCAACATGGACTAGTGGAAAGTATTAACTATCCCCTGTATCCATGATGCAGAGATCACGTTATCAAACTGCTTCCAACTTTGGCTTCCTTATCCTGTCTTTCAGGATTATCACATCACTGAGAAATGGCCTATGGGAAGCTCGTCTCACCTCACTTGCCCCATAGCACCTCAGACATGGCAGCAGGCGTCATCCTGCCTGAAATGGATGAGCAATTTGTATTAGTCAACCTCCTCCTTTCTCAGGTTTCCACTGCCGACAGAGCTGCTGTGTCCACGAAGACGTACAGGCTTCCTGTGCCAGACTTAACTCTCAGGGCATGTTTTTCCTCCTTCACCAGCACATCTTTGTTCTGCTTCAACACAGGCGTATCATTTTTGTCACATAGCTCGGTCATATCTTTAGTCACCTGCTAGTCACTGTCATCATTATCCTTCCACAAAGGGAGTTCCTTCCCATCCGCTCATCCTTCCCAGCATGAGCTGACTCTGTCAGAGATGATGAATTCTATCCTTCACTCTCTTCCGCCTTTGATGAGACATCATCCCCGTTGCTTTTGTGTGTCCAATCTGGTTGGCCTTTGGCATCCTCTTCGGATGCTGACCGAATGATTCTGACGATCTTCAGTATCCCTGGAATGTATCTTTCTCATGTAAACTTAATACTTAAGACCTCTGAACATTCTACCATCTGGTGACTTTGGGCTCGTTGCAATGAGACTGGGACCAGAATAAAAATAGAAAGAAGAAAAGAAATCAGCCAGCCAGCTGATGCAATGAGTAATTTACTCTGAATGAGAACTTTCTAGAATCCACTGCTAGGCTCATGTCTTTGATGGTCTTCTG